ATTGGTGAATGTACTTTTGTCAGATGAAAATCCTGTTGGAGATGTCTACAGACCCATTTGGATGCCAGTGTCACCAGCGCTGTCCACATCACTGTGGCTTGCTGTGCTTGTCACAACTGTGTGAAGCCAGAGGTGTGCCATTTCCCCTTGAATGGACCCATGACAGGGAGGGTACTGTAGATTGGTACCCTCAGCCAGAAGGTGCAGCTACCGCTGCAGGAGCTGCCTGCACCCGGGCAGCAAGTCAGGGATGCTTTATGTTCTCATGTTATGAACTGACATGGCCCAAAGGAGGCGGGGGAATAGTACCTGTACAAAAGTGCTTGTGGGGGAAACCTGGCTCATTAATTTTTTGGAACGGGGGGCAGTGCTTGGGAGGAGCATGGGCTTGATTGCTATGCAATGTAAGTCTGAATGACCTGATGAATAACGAATTTGGTTAGACGGGGGGCGGGGGGGTATAAAGGCTGTACAAATGAATTTTATTGAAATGTGAATTGCTCCACCTAGTTAAACAGAGGAACACTGTTTGTTTACTAATGCTTAATTGCTCCCGAACATGATTTTAGCTTTATCATCTCAAATCATGGTTGTATGATGTGGTGCAGTGATAGCAGTAAACTTCCTTGAAAACGTAAGGTTTTATTTGTAAACACATCTTAAAGCAGAAAACCACTCAGTCATTTGGGCAGGGCAGCTGCCACATCAACAGCACTCCGCTCCCCCCTCTCCCCCCAGGCAGGAAATAGTTAAGACCTGACACAATCCCCCTATGTGTCCCCCCCTGCCCCCAGTTCTTTTCCCTTCTTTACATGTTTTCCCCCTCATTTGGAAGCAGGGGATGGGATCTGGAAGAAGGAAGGCTGCGTGGGGTTTAGTTGTATTGCCCAGCCTCTCTCATGAGTCCTGAACGCATGGGCCACCCCAACATGGAGTAGTCCAAGCTACTGCTGGGCTAAGGGGATGTTTGGGCATCATGGCATGATGTGAGAGAGGCTGCAGGTGTCAGAGCTCTTGCTGCCATTATGGAAACAAGTTGCTGAAACAGTCCTCTGTGAGCTCTGTCCTCCTCCCTTAGCCACTGTTCATGTTCCGGGAACTGCTTTGCAAGCGCCAGCTCCCTTGCTGAAAACCTGTCCTTTACCTGGGTGGTGAGCCTCACTTTCCTCCTGCCTGTCAGTGGGCCGTTGTTCCCATCTTTTGTCCCTCTTCTTCGGGTACTAGACCTGCTGGTCTATCCTCTCGAGCATCAATCATAATTTCATCATGGAAACTCTTCCTTTTGGAACGGTCTGGGAAAGGTACATTGGGCCAGGGATGGAGTTCCTGAAGAATGGAAGGCAATAGATGTTGAGGGGCCTGAAAGACACAGAGGGTTATTGTCTAAAGTAGCTCCGTGGAGGAGCACAGAGTTAATTATTGTGGAATTTCAAGGGCATAAAATGTAACATTCCTAAACTGAACCAACACATATTGTGAAGGGGATGCATCAGTCCTCATACTGTCTCTGGACACAGCCCGGTTAATTGCAGTTACAGAAGTGCAGAGACAATGGTAAGGTTAAAATTATAACCTTTATTCTGTTTCATAAAAATTTCATAACTAATTACCATATGAAGGGGTGTTTAGTGCCCTCTCTGCAAAGGTTTTTTCTGTCACTTCAGGCCTTTCGTATTTTGGAAGACATAACAGTTTTTGTGGTGCTCTATTGGCAAAGGGAGATGTTGTTCCAAGCTGCTGGAGGAAAACCTGCAGTGTATGCAGCAGAAGTATTCCAACTAATAGTCACTGAACAGCACATCTGTGAGTGGAGTGAGCTAGTCAGCTATATTGAGGGGCTTGGAAAATATGCTCTTCCCGGCAGTGTGACTAATTACCAGGAGTTCTTGTTTCAGGAAGAGTTTGCAGCTATCAGCAGCCAGGGTTGGGTCAGCAGCCATGAGGGAATTAACATGATACTGTGTTAGCTCACACGTGGCTTACCCTGTTATGGCTGCACACAAACATGCCTCTTTACTCCACCCGGCACAGTTCTGGGAAATAACTGACAGTACACTCGAACTGAAATGGACTAGATTTGGAAATAGCGCGCGCATGCACACATGCTCACTCACTCACTCACTCTCTCCCTCTCCCTCGCCCAGGAGGAGTGATTACAGAGTAGCAAATATCTTCTTATTGACAGGAAAACACGAATGACCCTAGCAAACCTCTGAGACAGTTAAAATAACCTTTACAGCTGTTTATGAGTGTTTGAAATTCCAAATCACCATTTTGAGCTCCATGTGTTGGGTCGGGAGGAGGAAGAGTGGGATTGGGGAGGCCTGGCTGCTGTGATACGGTCAGCCATTAGTGGCTAAACATTGGAAGCTGGGTCTTATCATTTTTGCATTGCTTCTTACAGCAGAAGCCCCTCCATTACTGTAGCAGTGCGCTTCAAGTCAGACACTTCTCAGGCTCTGGGGCAGCTTCTGTCTCCACCAGGTTCTCTGCAGGCTCAGCAGCAGGCTGTTCCATGGGAGAGGATCAAAGAGTTCTTCCAAGTAGGGACTGAGAATTTGCAGCTGAGCCTCATCCACGGCCTGCTCTGGGACTGTTTTCATTTAAAGTCACTTCATGTTGTTCACTGGGAGCCTGCTGCTGGCTCCTGTCAGCCTTCATGCTGGATTCAAGGGCCAGCAGGGCATCATCCTGGCTGACCAGGTCATCGTGAACCATGGTTGGCTCCGTGCTGGGCGTACTGCCCAGGACCCAGTCAAAGTCCTCATAAAATGGTCAAGTTGCCCGACGTGCGGTTCTTGTCCCTGGTCTTCCAGTACTTGCTCTTCAGCCTCTTAATGCGCTCTCTGCACTGATCACCTGTCCGGAAAATCTGCAGAGCTGACAGCTTTTTAACTATCTGCTGCTATGCCTAGTCATTCCCGGTGATTTTTCTGAAGTCCACAGTTTTACGGGCTTTGCACCAGAGGTTCGTCAAAATCTGGCAGTGCTGCCATGATGAGGAAGTAGCTTGCTTTGCAAAGGCTCGATTGATTCGCTCTCCGTTGCAAACCCAGGAGGCTCTCTGATGGTGTGCTTGCAGATCGGTGATCGGAAGAGAAGGGGTGAATGCTGACCTGGACTGCCGCCATTTGCCAATGGGCGCGTGTGTGTGAGTTCTTTTTTCAGTAGAGTGGATTGCAGGTTGTTGGGATAGAAAGTACTAAAGAAGTTGTCCCATGGAATTGTGGGATACTTCTAGATGATTCCCAGAACCCGAGTCAAGCAGGGCTGCATCTATACTGCAAAGCAATAGGGCTCAGACCCTGGCTCCCGGCTTGACTCAAACTGGGTCTGAGCCCTGGGTTAGTGCAATACAGTGTAGACGGAAGAGGGTGTGTTTAGGCTGGAGTCCGAGCTCAAGCACGGATTTACGTTGCAGTGTAGACATCCCTAGGAAGCCAGGAGTGAAGATGGGTGGGTTACTCTGTAATAGCTCTATTCTGTGTGCTCCCCCGAAGCTCTGGTATAGGCTACTGTTCAAGACCGGATGCTGGGCAAGATGGACCATAGTGTGACCCAGTATGGTCACTGTTCTGTTTTTGTAATATATAAAGACAGTATCAGGAATTCCTTTTTGCTTCTTCACCATCTCCCTGATAAAAAATTGCCTTGTCCTTTGTAAGAACGCACAGCTTTGCCCTCCTCATCCATTCCACTGATGTATTAATCCTGTTGACAATGACTTTGCTCTTCTTATAACTGATGTCTAGCAGGCCGATGCGATTTCTCTCTACTACGCTACTTCTACTCCAATGTTTCTTCCTCTTCTGTAAAATCTTCCATAACCCTGGTCCTTGTAATATCCCAGCTGGCCGGCTGTTTCACTGTGACTTCATTTGTTCTTTTCCATGTCTCTGTGTGCTCCGTTACTCTTCTCCAGTATTCTGGCTTTCATCAGTCCCTCCCCCCAATGACAGTAGCCTGCTGCCCGCTTTTCCTTTACGTGGGAAATTTTGGCATTGAAAAGACTGAGGAAGTACAATGCCTCTTACCATCATTATATACTTGTATTAAGGTGGTACTTACAGGCCGTAATAATGATCTCTGCTCTCCTTCAAAAGCATGTACTTCTTCCGGAGTGTGTTTTGATCCTCCTTGGGTTCTGGAAAGGTGCAATCGGAGTCATAAACTACTTTGCATATCTTTTAGACACTATTTTGCAAAAGCAGAGAAAAAAATGGACCAATACTTTCATTATCCATACCTGTTGAGTTGTTGATAGATGTTTTCCCCCTCGAAGGCATTAAGGTTTATTTTAGAGTGGTGATCTTTGTAGGACACTGCTAACTTAAATCACACAACTGTCTGAAAGTGTTATTTGTAGCAATAGTGGATATAACACCTAAGATAGCTACATTGGAAAGAGATGAGAGAGAGAGAAATATTCCTTTTTGTGTTAATTAATTTTTTATTATTAGCACCTAGAAACCCCAGTCATAGACAAGGACCTCATTGTACTTGGTACTGTACAAACACAGAGCAAAACAAGATGGTCTCTGCTCCAAAGAGCTTACAATCTAAGTATAAAACAAGAGACAGCTGGTGGATACAGATGGATCTATACAGGAACAAGGAAACATTGAGACAATATTGGTCAGCATGATAGGCTACGCTGTCGGCACACAGCACTTGGCCAGTTCCATCCTTTTCCCTATACAGCCAGTTGCCATTTTGTCTCCATGGATGTCGCACACAGCAGCAGGGGAAAAGAGAAACACTTAATAGGATAACATGATTGCAAAGCTACAAAAAGTGGCAAGGAGTCTTGGGATTGGGTGTACTACCTGGAATGACTTCACTGAAATTGAGCAGAATTCATGTTGAAGGTTGTCAACTAACATCTAAAGGAGGTTTTTGATCACTCTGCATGCTACACAGTTTTGCTGTTTTTACTCTACATGCAACTGCAGTGAAGCTATGACTAAATTGGCTTCCTGTATTTGTTCTCTTGTTTGCAGTTGATTTGAAAAAAGACCTAGATGAATATATCAAAAAAAATCTTCCAAGAAACACAAAGCTGGTAAGAAATGAAAAGCGAGAGGGGCTGATTCGAGGAAGAATGATTGGAGCATCTCATGCTACAGGTATACCCTGTCTTTTCTTTCCTTTAATACGTTCTCCATACACCTAAGCAGCAGCTGTGTTGTAGCCACAATCCGTTCAGCCAAGGAGTATCTGACATAGTCCATATGGTGATCATCAGTAGGGCTTTTTGTTAGGTAAAGGGGATGATGATGAGTGATGTGATGCACTTGCTTTCCTTTAGTGGACTGAACTTACAGCTTATGCAGCAATCTCTTGATGGCTAAGGGGCAGAGAATCAATCAGATTTCCTATAAGTCAGTCCTTGGCATCACTTATTATTCACTGTTTCGTGTTTTTTACATGTGTTTGAGCTCATGTTAGTTCAGATAAAAATCACTGAGCCATCTTGGTACTCTTTCCTACAACATTTATCAGTGTTTATTTTGTATTTAGTTACTCCAGCTTTATTCTGTGGCAGTTGATACATTAAGAACTTTTGCATTAAAGTGCATTTACAGGTTTAACTGTTTAAGTAAAGCTGTCACCATGTAAGATATGGCAGCTTGCTAGAAATGAAGTGCCTTCAAAAGAGTCATACTCAGTACATAATGAATGAAAGGGAAGCTTTGAGAAGAGTAAGTGGCCACCAGACATGATCATTCTTTCACTTTGCTGAGTTGGGAGACCTGGGCAGGATTAGGGATCAGTTTTCCTATAAAACAAAAGTAGATCAGGACTCTGGCTTTACCTGACTGCTCAAGTAGCTGGTCATAAGAAGTGGTGTTGACAGACTGTATTTCACACAAGTTCTGTATGATTAGTTTTCTTACAAGTAGCAGGGATTTCATTTATGGGAAAATAAATAATTTTTTTGCTAATGAAGAAAATAAATTGAAGCTTTCAGCTTGAGTTGTGGGAAGGAAGTCCGCTACCTGAATACCTTTTAAGCACCCTTCATATGTGTTCGCTCCCCCTACAAGAAACAAGAGGCACAAAGATCAGTCGGTACTTAGCAGTGTTGGCCAGAGCCTGCCCTCACTTGCATGTAAATCTAGAATAAATCAGTTAATTTCAGCAGATTTACACTGTGTAAGTGAAGGAAGAATTTTGCCTGTGCATGTGTTTTAGAAAAACAACCCCCCCCCACCAGCCTTTTTATATAACCTAAATTTTGGGTCCCAATTGGCCCAGGTGTCCCTTTTAAATCTTACCAAAATTAAACCAGTGAGGCAATTTACTTTTGCAGTAAATGCATCTCAGTTCATTTAGATTAATTTGCTCTAATTGGGAAGAGCAACAGTGGTTCATGAACCTTGGTAAAACAGTGCAGGATTTTCTCTCTCCCACCCAAGAGCCCAGCTCATTATATATTGGATAACATACATGCAGAATACTTCGTCTCAAGTGACAGCTGTTGAACTGTGAGGTATTTTGCTTTCTCATTAAGGCACTTTAGAAAGACTCCTGAGTAAGCTACTAATTCACATGCATGACTGAGCTACTTCTCACCTGTAAAAAGAAAAGGAGTACTTGTGGCACCTTAGAGACATGCCACAAGTACTCCTTTTCTTTTTGCGAATACAGACTAACATGGCTGCTACTCTGAAACTTCTCACCTGTAGTATTTCAGTTGTCATTACAGTAGTTAATTGGGATAGAATATATCTGTGCTTTATGTAGCCAGGGTACATTTTATGTTAATGTACATCATGGATAAATTCTTTGGCATGTGAGAGACTGTGTGCTACAAGATAATTTCTAAATTAGTCTGTTACTTGTTAGCATTGTAATAACATGATCCAGAAAGGAAACCACTATTGAAGTTCCTAGGTTATTGGCTTGAACATTGCTTGTTACCCCTCTCTGTATCTAGTTCATATACCACTCTTCACCATGATATGTATCAAGTCCTCTCCCATCTCTCCTCAATTATCCCAATATCACATCACTTTTCTCTTCTAAAATAAAATTTCAGAATAATTTTTACACTGACTAAGCCTGGAGACTTCTCCTTTATTCCCAGTGGTCCAGATTTTAGCATCTCTAATTGTGGTGAATAGTCCCACACAAACTAATGGCTCTTACAAGGAGTAGGGTGCTATTTAATGTGAGTAAGACTAACAGAATCTGTCCCTAATAATATTGGCCCTGACTTTGCTCTTACATCATGAATTACTGGGTGCAGGGCTGATGAGAGAGGACAAAGAGGGGACAATTGTGCTTGGACCCTGAGCTCAAGGTGGTCTCCAAAATGTCTGTAACATAAGTGTAAATAAAATCAAATAGGAAGGGGTGGGACCTTAGCAAACATGATGCACTGGGATCCCAAATTTCTCTTGACAGGCCTGAGTTTCTGTGGCTGTATTATGCAGGAGATAGGGCTAGATCATTATAATGGTCTCTTGTGGCCTTAAACGCCATGGATCTGTGATACACCAGTATAAAACTGGTGGTCAGACTCTGAGTTTAAGTGGTCTCTGTGTGTATTTGTTTCATACATATATATATATGTATATAAAGTTTGTGTGTATATATGGCAACACAGCACTGAATCTGGTTAAAATGCTTACCAAAATATTTCTGCCAAAGGAAATATTATGAATAACTGCACATTTGAGCGAGAAATTACTTTAAATGTGAATAGTCAAGATTGATGATGTGAAACTTAGTTTGTCTGTGAACTACCTGAATGAATGATGTTTTCTTCATGTGAGGTTCCTTGTATGCTTATCAGACCACGAGTGTCTTCCAACTACCTCCCCCTGCATTACACCTTTGGTCTCCACGGATCTTCTGTTGCATGAGTAAGACTGCATAACACTCATTGTGGAGCTTTTTTGATAGTCTTTTTTTGGTACTTAATTGGCTTGTGATATCAGCTCTTCAGAGTCTTCCACCCCTCTGGCTACTAATGTCTAGCTCTCAGACAAGGGGATGCTTCCTTTGTTTGGCTTTTTGAGGATCGGTGTGGAGGTTTATAGTGATAGGAGAGAATCCTCTGGGCCTTGCCAGGGTGGTGGAGAATCTGTTTGAGCTGCGAAAAAATACCTGCAGTAATGGCCTAATCCAGGTCTCGTGGAACTCAGCGGAAGGACTTCCTTGGACTTTCATGGGAGCTAGAACAGAATAAATGCAGTAATTAAAAATTGTTGGAGTGACGGCGGAACAAGAGTTGTTTCATTCTCACAGCAGGGGAGCTTCCCATTATTGTTAGTGAACTGTGCTGCTCTCGCAGTCTGTGCAGTGTATGTAGAATCATATGCATTACTTTGTAATCAGTATTATTGTCGATAGTTAAGTTCTGTACTCTGCTCCTTCAGGCTAGACGGTAAGATTTCTCTGCAGGAAACCCTTTAGCAGCAGCGGACTCAGAGATAATTGCTACCATCAAGGTTTTATTTGGAAATTGTATTCCGCCCCCCCTTTCCCAGTTATATTTGATATACTTAGTACTGATACCTGTAAAAGTGGTGCTGTCTTTACAATGCAATATATCCTAGTGGATTTCTTTAGATAATAATCCCAATCCAGAGGAGATGACATCTCCCTCTGTTGTGTATGCTTTCAGTCCTCTGATAGAAATAATCTGTGTATATATATTTAGTGTTTTCAGAGACCTGCATATTTTTTATGCTTTTTGTTCTTCTCAGGAAAAGTGCTGGTGTTCCTGGACAGCCACTGTGAAGTGAATGAGATGTGGTTACAACCTTTGCTGGTGCCAATCAGAGAAGACAGCAAGACGGTGGTGTGCCCCGTGATTGACATAATCAGTGCTGACACGCTCATCTACAGCTCTTCCCCTGTTGTGCGTGGAGGGTTTAACTGGGGTCTGCACTTTAAATGGGATCTTGTTCCTTTGTCAGAATTAGAAGGACCTGAGGGAGCCACTGCGCCAATCAAGTAAGATTTCGCCTGCCTGTTGGGAAGCAAGTTGACAATTATAAGTAACGTGCGGTAAATAGAGACCAGCTCATAAATGAGATGTGTAGCTTTAAAAGCAGAGACTTGCATTGCCAAGGGTCGGTCTGTCTCCATTTTTATTGAGTTAGTTTAAGAGAAAATTAAACTTTAACAACGGGAAAAGGCTAGCCTCGCCAAATTTGCCTGCTTTTAAAGGGCAAGAAAAACACCTTTTTAGAGATTTATATAGCACCATGTTTGCCATGGTGCTCTACAGACAGATAAGACATGGTCTGTACCCTGAAGAGTTTACAGGCTATTCTGTATGTATGTAAATATGTATTATCCAGTACCTTAATAGTAGAGCTATGTATTGCTATATGTTTGCCTTAATGATGCTTATTTTGATTATCAACTGTGCCATAGTGATATGCTGTGTATCCATCTGGCATGAGCTCTGGAACGTTTGTGGCCAAATGTTAACGAAAGGCTAGCTTTGGAAAATTCTTCTCTTTCGTAACAAGAAGGCAAATGTCATGGTCAATGATAGAACTGTTGTACCAGTTTTTCTCAAAAGCTTTCATGTCAAGAGTCTCTTCTTTCCGTTCAGATAGTCTTTTTTTTTTTTCTTTTAGATTTTAGCATTTATCTTGGTATAAAGCTTTCTACTTGAATGTGCACGGATGCAAAAGCTGCCTCAAACTGTTAGCCACGCCATCAAGCTTTGTGGCGAATACTTTGAAATCATCCATCCTTTCTATGGTCAACCCTTGGAGTCCGGCCTGAAGTGCTTCCCAGGGTCATTCTTCAAGGCAAAAGATGAGCACTGGGACTTGGCAGCACCTTCTTTGATGTTTCTACTATACAATAGGTGTCTGGTGGCCTATCAGAAATAAACAGTATCAGTCCAATTCCTACTGGACATGTCCATGTTATAAAATTGCCACCACCTTTGGAAACTTTGTCTTAGCAGAGAGGGCAGATATTGGTTAGGCACTGCAGTAGAAATGGCTTGTGCAGGGGAATCCCTCCAAGAGCAAGGCTGAAGCTGGCAGAGCAATGTGGAGAAGCTGATATGTTGCATATGTTCTCTAGTTTAGAGGTCTTCAGTCTGTCGGGCTGTTAATCCAGCACCATTCATTGACACTAGGTTGATTTCATAAAAAGGGAGCTTTAATCAAAACAATTCAACTAATTTCTGGCAGAATGTTAGTGCTTTATTACATTTTATCGCTGGGATGGGCTCTGAAACTTGGCTGTGTGTTTTTGTCCTCCTCTGCCCTTGGAATGTGAATTAACAATGCTTCGAGATGACATAAGCTGCTCCAACACTGGTTTGAAGACCGTGCATCAGGTTTTCCACATCGGATTTTCCCACCAAAAGGCTTGACCTAAGGAAGCCAAGAAACTTCTCATGGTATTTCTTAATAAACTGGCTCAGCAAGAATCTATTTGAGAAAAGATCACTGCAGGTATTTCTGAAGTTAGAAGACACATGGGAGAAAAGTGGAGGAGATCCATCAACGAAAATTTTAAATTAGGAATCTTGGTTAGAGATAATCCACCATGTGCCTGAAGATGCAGTCCTCTGTGTAGGCAAAGCAGCCCGTCTTCCAAGGATTCTGGGATTGAGCCCAAAGACAATGTTGGTACTTAAATGGAGTCCCATCATCTACAGTGACTAAATTTCCTGAGTTTGAGAGTGACTTCCCCATTTAGAGAAGCTCTCACATTGCTTAAACAATATTCTAAAAGTTTGTTTTTTAAAATCTCTGAATATCACTTTCCACCTAATGGAAAGTCTTTTGTTTTGTCATCTATTTAGAAACCTTCATAATCCAAATGTGCTGGATTCTTCTCTACCCAGATGTTAGAGGGACAAATCCTACAGCAGAAGACCATGTCAGAACAAACAAGGGAATCCAGACTTAGGGCTGCTTACCCTGGATTCTTTTATTGCATTTTTACTGACTAGGATTGTGGAATGCCTGTCTTTAGCCACTGCCACATGGCATGTTTGCATGGACTGCTCTTTCCTCCCCCCGTCTCTGCGCCTTACACTTTGCCAGGGCAACAGCAGACAGGGACTTCCTGCTTATAAAAAGAGGTATTGGTCATACAGGAACAATTTAGGATGTAGGTTGTAGAATAGTAACTAACGTTCAGATGTTTACAAAATATATTGGTTTCAGAGTAGCAGCTGTGTTAGTCTGTATTCGCAAAAAGAAATCTGTTAGTCTCTAAGGTGCCACAAGTACTCCTTTTCTTTTTACAAAATATATTGACACAGTAAAAATGCTATATAAGAGGCAGTGCATAGAAGGGACAAAGAGCTGGAAAACCTCCGGCGAGAACAAATACTCAACTGTAGAAGAGTTGTAACAATTGGGGGATAACCTGATGATTTTATTAATGATGAAACATCAGTACTCCTGATTTTAAATTCAGTTTGTGAGACAAGATAAATAATTTAATTACACCTTATTAGGTTTACTGGACTGCATACTTTAAGCTTGATCCTTGTTTCACACAGAAAGGGAATTATTACTTACTTCAGGTGATACCAGAAAGTACAGTGTACACTGGAATATATTTTTTCCCCAGTCAGGTCAGGACCAGCCTATATTAGCCCTTTGTTCATGAGAGGGAAATATATAATCATTTTGATTTGTACGCACATCACTGTACATTTGTACATATAATGAACAAGTACATCCATACATTTTAGATCCAGAGCAACGTAATCAGTTAACCAGAAAATGTAGGTACTGTGTCAGAGCTAAAGAGACAAAAATATAACCTGACTGGATACTAGGCAGGGTGGCAGTGCACTTATGCTGGTGATGTCATTGCAAAAGAGTAATTTGGTTTCTATGCAGCCAGCTATTTGCATTTGAAGGAAGACTGAGGGCTTGTTTTCATAGCCCTGCATTTTGGACTATGGGTGCATGGATGGCCGTGTGCACTAGCATGCTGTGCTGTCACTTCCCCATGTGGGTGCTGTGGGCACAAACTAAAAGGTACCTCGCTCACATTAGCTAAGTGTTGTTTAAAGGTACACATCAGATAAATGTATGTTGCACAGTTATACGTGATGGAACAGCAAGAGATCATAGATCATATTTATACACTTTCCTTTAAAAATAAATAAATTATAGGATCTTTTGAGACCTGGTCTGATTACTTCAATCATGCAGTCATAGTCAATGAGATCCAACCATCTGGATCCAATAGTAGGACTGGGGACTTGATGATTAGGCTAGAGTAACTTTTTTTTTTTTTATTAAAACGAGTGTGTAGACAATGGGAACTCATTTTTAACTTTTTCTCTTCTAGGTCACCTACTATGGCAGGAGGTTTGTTTGCTATGGATAGAGAATACTTCAATGAACTTGGACAGTATGATAGTGGCATGGACATCTGGGGAGGAGAAAATCTGGAAATATCATTTCGGGTAATTGGTTTGTATTACAGTAGGTGCTCTACTTGTTCCCTTACCTAAGCAGAGATTCATTAGCATTGGAATTTCTATTTGCCTATTGAAGGTATATGGGGCCTTCATTTTCCTTTCAAAGGATGCTTTCAACTCACAAAAAAAACACTCTGAAATTTCTGATCCACTACTGTAAGAACTAATTTGATTGTAACTGGAAGTTTAAAGGGGGGAAAAATGTTCTCCCTTTTGACTTTTATTCTATAGTGTTTGACAGCACTTATCTTTAGTCACTTTTACAGTTTCCCCTTTTGCTTGTCTGGGTCTTTCACATAGCATAGGGAGAGAGAGAGAGAGACTTGAAATAAGAGAATCTGGTTTGTAAAATGACAAATTTGGCAGGAGGAGACACCGGCAGCGTGAAACTACTTTTTATTCAGTTCGTGAAATTGACTCAACTTCAAGCTGCCAGTTGCCCTTTTAATATAAACAGGTTTATTTACATAACATTTCTGTAGGCTTATAGGCTCTTTACAAACCTCCTAGAATCCTTCTCAGAGGAGCTTGAATCCCAGTTTAGACAGGTACGGTACAAATTAGGGATCATGCAGAAGATTAGTCTGAGCTGTTGAAGAAAGATGGGCAGAAAGTTACTATCGGCAGGTTCCACTGTAATTGGTTCATTAGGCTTGTGTTACATTTTATCTCTTCTTTGTTTGCAGGGTAGAAATTTAAAAATAATTAAACTGCTTTGAACTTTTTTCAAACAAGTAGTAGGCACCTTTGAGTGTATAAGGAATGTTGATTCAGTCACTAGGTATGGGCAAATGTGAGGCAGGGACTCATTAAGGAAACCAGCACTGGCAAATGTTTCTTAGCCCCTGCTGCACAAAATGTACAAAATAAAAATACTTTAAGCAAATCTGTTTGCAAATTGAGTCATGATAGGGACAAAGAATGTAGGTCACATTTACAGGATGTTGGGCTGAATGCTGGAAATCAGTGACTTTGAAAACAAATTTGGGGTTATGGTGGAAAGCCAACTGAACTGGGGCTCGTATGGTGATGCTGTGGCTACAGGCGTAAATCAGTCCTTGGATGTATAAGAAGGAGCATATTGAGTAGAAGGAGAGAGATCGTTACTGAAATATTGTGTCCAAGTACGGCATGCCTGCTTTTAAAAGGATGTTGAAATATTGGAAAGGATTCAGAATAGAGTTGTTAGAAGAACTCAGGGCCTGGAAAATCTGCTTTCCAGTGAGAGATTTAGGAAGCTCAATCTATTTATCTTATCCAAGAGGAGGTGAAGAGGTGACTTGATGAGTCTGTAAGTACCTACTTGGGGAGAAGATTTCTGAGAGTCAAGGGCTATTTAGTCTAGCAGACAAACACACAACAAAATCCAGTGGCTGGAAGCTGAAGTTAGGAAAAACTCAGAATGGAAGCAAGGTGCAAACTGAAGATTGGATATCTTTCTAAAACAGGTGTCCTAGCTCAACCAGAAGTTATGGGGTTAATGCAGGAATTATTGGTTGACATGTTCTAGCCTGTGTTATGTAGGTCAGACTAGATCATCAATATGGTCTTTTCTGGCCTTAAAATCCCTGAATTTTAGTTACCAGAAAGAAGATAAAGTAGGGCAAACATTTTAACTCGTACATGCAAAAGGGATTACAAGTCACACACATGTATATGTATCTGCATACAGCACATGTGGGAAACCTGTCTTAAACAACCACTTACAGGACTTAACAGTGTTTGCTTAATGGAGGTTGTTATATTAAGGTGGAGAAAAAATGTACTTGTTAAGTTTGCGGATACTCTGAAATGGACAGGAGATTGATTAATCAAGATGATGACCTGTTACACAGGTTATTGTGTTGCACATGTACTGTAGCAGGAACAGTAGGGATGCTGAAGTTAAGGTTAAATGATTAACCTTATACTAGTAGTAATAAATAGATAGTCCATTCTAATCCCTGGTCAACACTTCAAAGTTATACCAGTATGACTGACAGAGGTAAATATATGTCATAAATATAAAGGGAAGGGTAAACCCCTCCTGGCCAGAGGAAAAATCCTCTCACCTGTAAAGGGTTAAGAAGCTAGGATAACCTCGTTGGCACCTGACCAAAATGACCAATGGGGAGACAAGATACTTTCAAAAGCTGGGGGGAGGGAAAAACAAAGAGTCTGTCTGTCTGTGTGATGCTTTTGCCGGGGACAGAACAGGAATGGAGTCTTAGAAATTAGTAAGTAATCTAGCTAGATATGCATTAGATTATGATTTCTTTAAATGGCTGAGAAATTAAGCTGTGCTGAATGGAATGGATATTCCTGTTTTTGTGTCTTTTTGTAACTTAAGGTTTTGCCTAGAGGGATTCTCTATGTTTTGAATCTGATTACCCTGTAGGGTATTTACCATCCTGATTTTACAGAGGTGATTCTTTTTTACTTCTTACTTCTATTAAAATCCTTCTTTTCAGAAACTGAAAGCTTTTTCATTGTTCTTAAGATCCAAGGGTTTGGGTCTGTGGTCACCTATGCAAATTGGTGAGGATTTTTACCAAACCTTCCCCAGGAAGTGGTGTGCAAGGGTTGGGAGGATTTTGGGGGGAAAGACATTTCCAAACAACGCTTTCCTAATAAATAAACCCAGATAAACGTTTGGTGGTGGCAGTGGAAGTCCAAGGGCAAAGGGTTAAATAGTTTGTACCTTGGGGAAGTTTTAACCTAAGCTGGTAAAAGTAAGCTTAGGAGGTTTTCATGCAGGTCCCCACATTTGTACCCGAGAGTTCAGAGTGGGGAAGGAACCTTGACAGGTGTGATTTTTTTTTTTAAACCAATTTATAGTTTTACTGTTACAAGTCCTAGTGTGGACACACTGGTATAAAGGTGCCCTGCCTGTATGGGAATACCTATACTGTAATAAAGCACTTTTATACCAGTATCACTGTGTCCACTCTATCCGGGTTGTACCTGTGTACTTAAGCCTTGTCTGCAGTACTGGGTTAACCTGTATGGTCACCTAAAACTTTCTAAACTTTCACTGTTGTCCTGAAATGTTCTATGTTTGGTCTTTTGTCTGAAAACTAAATATTGAAAGCTTGAAAAACATTGTGGCTCTTTCCAATGGGAAGGAGAGTGGGAGAAAATAAGTGCTGTTGTTGTTTTTAAAAACCGCTTGCCACATTTTATTTTGAACAATCCTAACAAGTGACAGGGAGGGTGATCTAGGCAAATTGATATGGACATTGCCTTTTTCAGAGAGTAAAGCCTTGCCTTTTTCCACCCATAGGAAATTGGTTTTGATTTAATGGTGAGATAAGCCTTTAAAAACTGAATACTGAGCACATACAATTCTACCCTAACTATCCTCTTAATAAATAGCATTGAACCTTTTCTGTACTCTACAGTGAGGTGTCTTCTGCTTTCTTGTGGACAGATCTGGATGTGTGGGGGTAGACTTCTAATCATCCCTTGCTCCAGGGTAGGACACATATTCCGTAAAAGGCGCCCCTATGGCTCACCAGGGGGGGAAGGATACCATGGCACATAACTCTCTGCGCCTGGCACACGTTTGGATGGATGAATATAAGGTAAGACAAAAATTACTGAGTTTGAAATGGGAGTGTTCATTGAACTGTTCCAGTTTGTGATAACACATCCATTCCTTTGTCTAACAAGATACTATCTGTGCACGGTTCTCGCTCATGTGACATACTTAGTGTGAGATACTCAGAAATTCCCAAGCGCTATGTGTCTTTTTGGCCTGTGAGGTCAGCATTAGGGACCAGAGGCACCAGCCAGTCCCACTTCCTGTCCAAAAAGGACTTCACCTACTGATTGTATGAGTACCCTACCTCCGTTCTGTGCCGTTTTTCTTGTATCAGCTATGTAGTTCTCCAGCTTTTTCTATCCTTGTTCTCTGAAAGCTGCCAGGGTCTTTTGTTACAACAGATTTAGAGGTGGAAGGCAGGTCTGAAGATATTTCCATGCTTATACATATAATGAAAGTGCAAGATAATGGTATTGACTGAAGCTGTGGTGGGATGAATGATATAGAAGAGAGACATAGAAAGATTAGTATAGATCGTCTGTTTTCCTCTGTTTTGTTCAGCAGAGAGTACAACAGCAGCATTTAGTAAATAATAAAAAATTCTATATGATAGATAGGGAAATAGTAAAAATTGCATTTTAATTTTTACATTCCTGAGGAGTTGCAAATTATGTATTTATGCAATATGAGATACAAATATGCAATACAAAAAAGCAAGATATCAGTTACACTTTTAAGGATACAATGATGACTACACTGAATATCCCACTTCATTGATACTTTTATTGAAAAAATGAACAGATATAATAATACACAGAATTATATATTTGATACAGAAAAGTCTTATCTAATTCATTCCTATGACAATGTACAGTTGCCCTGGATCCATTTCACTATATACATGATATGCCTTGTGCTAGATTGTATTAGCCTTGCTCTTATAGCTTCTTTGTACCTGCTACAGAAATTTCAGTGATATTAACTTTACAATCATCTTCAGAATCAACAAGTATCTCAGTAATGATGGATGTAAGCACTAGAATGTCATTATTGCCAGCAAGTTCCAGACATCAGTTAAAGTGCAGGTTTACCCAGCGAAGTGTCAGGGTTCCATGCTTATTGTATCCTAAAGAATGCATATGAAATTAGCCTAGTATACAGACAGTGTCTTTTCTGTTTTACTTGCAAACTCAGTCTGGGATGTGAGAATCAACATGGGAATTTCCCTTTTCATACATCACCAGTAATAATGATTCTGCAGGCCATATTATGGCTAATGATATTGTGTAATCTCATTAGCTCTCATTGCACCTCTGTTGGAGTTGCACAGGTGTGACTGAGGGCATAATTTAGAATCTTTATTACTAGGGATGAAGTAGGATAAGGACAGAACCCAGTTTAACTCCAAGAGCCCAGATTAAAGGCCTGGTCTTGTAAATGCATGTGGATGTGAATATCACCAATCACAGGCGTAGTCCTGTTGAAGTCAGTGAGACTAACCACATGAATAACATCATTCATATGCAAGAACAAGCCCTAAACTTGCATGTCTGGCAGTTAGAAAATAAATACTTTTTTCACTTGTAAACAAAACAAATTTGTTATGGAAATCATAGAGACACAGTAAACATTGTCTCTAAAATGACATTATGGAATTTTGAAGCACTTGGAGGAGAGGAAGGTGGTCAGGAACAGTCAACATGGAATCACCAAGGGCAAGTCATGCTTGGCCAATTTGATTGCCTTCTATGATGAGATAACTGGCTCTGAGGCTATGGGGAAAGCGGTGGACATGATATTCCTTGACTTTAGCAAAACTTTTGATACGGTCTCCCATAGTATTCTTGCCAGCAAGTTAAAAAAGTATGAATTTGATGAATGGACTATAAGGTGGATAGAAAGCTGGGTAGATCGTCAGGCTCAACGGGTACTGATCAATGTCTCGATGTCTAATTGCAAGCTGGTATCAAGGGGAGTGCCCCAGGAGTCTGTCCTGGGGCCAGTTTTGTTCAACATATTCATTAATTATCTGGATGATGGGATGGATTGCACCCTCAGCAAGTTCGTGGATGACACTAAACTGGGGGGACAGGTAGATACGCTGGAGGGTAGAGATATGGTCCAAAGTGACCTAGACAAATTGGAGGATTGGGCTAAAATAAATCTGGTGAGGTTCAACAAGGACAAGTGTAAAATCCTGCACTTAGGATGGAAAAAATCCCATGCACTGCTATGGGCTGGGGACTGACTGGCTAAGAGGCAGTTCTGCAGAAAAGGACCTGGAGATTAGGTTGAGAAGCTGGATAAGAGTCAACAGTGTGCCCTTGTTGCAAGAAGGCTATCGGCATATTGGGCTGCATTAGTAGGAGCATTGCCATCAGATAGAGGGAAGTGATTACTCCCGTCTATTGGGCGCTGGTGAGGCCACATCTGGAGTATTGTGTCCAGTTTTGGGCTCCCCACTACAGAAAGGATGTGGACAAATTGGAGAGAGTCCAGCAGAAGGCAACAAAAATTATTAAGGGGCTCGGGCACATGACTTACGAGGAGAAGCTGAGGGAACTGGGGTTATTTAGTCTGTAGAAGAGAAGAGTGAGGGGGGATTTGATAGCAGCTGTCAACTACCTGAAGCGGGGTTCCAAAGAGGATGGAGCTTGGCTGTTCAGTGGTGGCAGATGACAGAACAAGAAGCAATGGTCTCAAGTTGCAATGGGGGAGGTCTAGTTGGGGATTGCCCCTGTTTTGAGCAGGGGGTTGGACTAGATGACCTTCTGACGTCCCTTCCAACCCTGATATTCTATGATATTAGGAAAAACTATTTCACTAGGAGAGTGGTGAAGCACTGGAATGGGTTACCTAGAGAAATGGTGGAATCTCCATCCTTCAAGGTTTTTAAGGCCTGGCTTGACAAAGCCCTGGCTGGGATGATTTAGTTGGGGTTGGTCCTGCTTTGAGCAGGGGGTTGGACTAGATGACCTCCTAAGGTCTCTTCCAACCCTAATCTTCTATGATTCTAATTCCAATTTTCAGAGAAGATTTAATAATTTGTCAGTGGTTAAATGGAACAGGTATGTAGTTTAATGCATTGGATTAATCATGGTTTAAAATTGGTACTAGAAATAATGTACATAGTTCTGATACGATATTTTCTCCTATTTCTTTTCTATGTAGGAACAATATTTTGCCCTAAGACCTGAACTAAGGACCAGGAATTATGGAAACATTACTGACCGTGTGGAGTTGAGAAAAAAAATGAACTGCAAGTCATTTAAATGGTATTTAGATAATATCTACCCAGAGATGCAAATATCCGGGCCCAATGCCAAAGCTCAGCAACCAGTTTTTATTAACAGAGGGCAAAAACGACCAAAAATACTGCAGCGTGGAAGGGTAAGACACTGTTCAACTTCTTTAGAAAATCCTTAGATTCCCCCCTTTTTAGGTAGTTTTGAAACTTACTGTGATGGTGCACATAGAATCAAGTACAGTAAATTGTTTTCACAGTAGGTGATTTGGTGTATTACTGTAATAAAAGTTAGTTTTGTCTTGAAAATGACAAATTTTGTATATTTATCCAGAGGTAAATTGGAAAAGGCCCCTTTATGTAAGCCAGGTTCTTTTCAGATGGTACAGTAATGAAGCAGTGTCTTTCCCTGCACTGAGGGCTTTGCAGCTTTAAAGTCCACATAGGACACTTTCATGACTGACCATTGGTTCTGAGAGTAGATATGGATTGAGAAGAACCTACCACGAGACTTTCACACTCTTTGTTTATAATGGATGTACAATGTAATTAGATATCCTCGGTCAGTACTTTTATTCAACAGTTTTCTGCAAAGATGAAAATTCACATCTGACTGAAAATGCCTCTCTTGCCCTTTACCCATAAGGTGAGGCCAAGTAAGAAATCTTACTCTTAGGTGTTCAGCGAAAGCATTTGGCGTATTAGTGGAAACCTAGCAAAAAACACCACCAAGAAGGATATGGTGATAAACTTTTAAAATGGTACATATCCATCTATTACTAAGTAGACCTTGGCTTATGGGTTTGTATGCAAGAATTACCTGAGTTGCACCTGCTTTCGCCAGTGCTGAATCTGGCCCAGTACAGTTTAAAAAAAAAAACTTTCCAAAAAAGCAGGAATGGATCCAGATTCCATAGAACATCTGTCAATCTTTCTATGTGCAAGAGAGCTGTAGGAGACTCAGGTAATTCTTATTTTAGGTATGGACAGGTGGGAACCTCTCACTGATGATCATAAACCAATTTAATAAGTAACCCGGACAACATAGCATAGCCTGCAATATTTATCAGTAAAATTTAAATAATGGATGCAACTGTAAAGTGTACGGCCCTAATTCTGCAGGCTGCTGCATGCAGAACACAAGATCGGACATACTGGGTAAGACCAAGAATCCATCTAGCCCAGTATCTTGTCTTCTGACAGTGGCCAATGCCGGGTACTTCAGAGGGAATGAACAGAGCAGGCGATCATCAAGTGAACACCTGTGCTCACGTAGAGTCCCTTTGAAATCACTAGGATTTCATGGCAGAAGGAGCTGCAGCAGTGAAGCAGTTATAGAATATTTTCTTCAGTTCAGTTCAGTACCTAGTCGGGACGCTATATGTTTTAAAATGAAATGTCTGGTTTGTTCTAAATACAGCAGATGCACCAAGCACTTAGGCATTTCCCTTGTCGCTCTTTTTACCTTTGGAAGATGATAATGGCTTTCTGGTTACTCCCAGATGAAGGCTTAGCTGAAGGACTACTGTTGATTTTGGATGAGGTTATTAAAGGCTTTTGAACATCTCAGAATGAAGTGAGGGGGCCTTATCCGTAGCCAAGGATCTCCTTCCCTTCAATTTAGAGCAGGAGTGGCCAACCTGAGCCTGAGAAGGAGCCAGCTTTTACCATTGTACATTGCCAGAGATTCACAGTAATACGTCAGCAGCCCCCAACAGCTTCCCCCGCCCAGTTCCCAGTGCTTCACACCCACTGGCAGCCCCGCCAATCAGCGCCTCCCTCTCCCTCCCCACACCTCCCAAACAGCTGTTTCGTGGCATGTGTAAGGGGGCTTATTCCTTCACCCACTTAGAATCATAGAATATCAGGGTTGGAAGGGACCCCAGAAGGTCATCTAGTCCAACCCTCTGCTCGAAGCAGGACCAATTCCCAGTTAAATCATCCCAGCCAGGGCTTTGTCAAGCCTGACCTTAAAAACCTCTAAGGAAGGAGATTCTACCACCTCCCTAGGTAACGCATTCCAGTGTTTCACCACCCTCTTAGTGAAAAAGTTTTTCCTAATATCCAATCTAAACCTCCCCCACTGCAACTTGAGACCATTACTCCTCGTTTTGTCATCTGCTACCATTGAGAACAGTCTAGAGCCATCCTCTTTGGAACCCCCTTTCAGGTAGTTGAAAGCAGCTATCAAATCCCCCCTCATTCTTCTCTTCTGCAGGCTAAACAATCCCAGCTCCCTCAGCCTCTCCTCATAAGTCATGTGTTCCAGACCCCTAATCATTTTTGTTGCCCTTCGCTGGACTCTCTCCAATTTTTCCACATCCTTCTTGAAGTGTGGGGCCCAAAACTGGACACAGTACTCCAGATGAGGCCTCACCAATGTCGAATAGAGGGGAACGATCACGTCCCTCGATCTGCTCGCTATGCCCCTACTTATACATCCCAAAATGCCATTGGCCTTCTTGGCAACAAGGGCACACTGCTGACTCATATCCAGCTTCTCGTCCACTGTCACCCCTAGGTCCTTTTCTGCAGAACTGCTGCCTAGCCATTTGGTCCCTAGTCTGTAGCTGTGCATTGGGTTCTTCCGTCCTAAGTGCAGGACTCTGCACTTGTCCTTGTTGAACCTCATCAGATTTCTTTTGGCCCAATCCTCCAATTTGTCTAGGTCTTTCTGTATCCTATCCCTCCCCTCCAGCGTATCTACCACTCCTCCCAGTTTAGTATCATCCGCAAATTTGCTGAGAGTGCAATCCACACCATCCTCCAGATCATTTATGAAGATATTGAACAAAACCGGCCCCAGGACCGACCCTTGGGGCACTCCACTTGATACCGGCTGCCAACTAGACATGGAGCCATTGATCACTACCCGTTGAGCCCGACAATCTAGCCAGCTTTCTACCCACCTTATAGTGCATTCTTCCAGCCCATACTTCCTTAACTTGCTGACAAGAATACTGTGGGAGACCGTGTCAAAAGCTTTGCTAAAGTCAAGAAACAATACATCCACTGCTTTCCCTTCATCCACAGAACCAGTAATCTCATCATAAAAGGCGATTAGATTAGTCAGGCATGACCTTCCCTTGGTGAATCCATGCTGGCTGTTCCTGATCACTTTCCTCTCATGCAAGTGCTTCAGGATTGATTCTTTGAGGACCTGCTCCATGATTTTTCCAGGAACTGAGGTGAGGCTGACTGGCCTATAGTTCCCAGGATCCTCCTTCTTCCCTGTAATAAGTTACTTATTACTTCCCTTTAATAACTTACTTCCTTGCTCCTTCTCGCATGAACAGAGAGCAACAATACCCGAAGTCCAAAAGTGCAAACAATTGGATGTTTATTGGAGTGAACTTCCAGCGAGCATGATTCCAGTTTCCTTCTTTAACGTCCCCCTTCCCAGCTCTGACACCACAGAGCCTTACCTGTGTCCCTGTTCCCATTCCCCCCCTTAGCAAAACATGATTCCAGTTTCCCCACCCCCATTCCCTGTTCCCATTCCCTGTTCCCATTCCCCCCCCTTAAAATTCCTGATTGACTGCAGACTATATAGTAAAAGTTGAGTTCTGCTTAGCTATACCTTAACCTATCATTTTACTGCAATTTAACTAACCAATCCTAACAGATTGTAATATGATTATTTAACCAATTATATCTCATCACCTTAATTAGTTTACACCCAGCAAAATTAATTATACAGCCGACAGAAACAATCTCAGAACCAGACAGAGATTATGCAGACAAACAGTAGGGAAATGGAGACTACAATGATAGAACAACACAGAAATGAGGGTTTCACATCCCAGCTATTGATAAGTGAGTTCTTGCCAGACAGGATGCTATCAAACTAAGTTTCCTTTTACATTTTCTAGGCACTTCCTTTTCTCTGGAGGCGATAAGCATTATCAGGACAGGATTGTATTCCTAACAGCCCAATAGCACCTTATTTCAATGTGACTAGTTTGCAATGTGAGGATGTGACCATATGCTTCCCAGCTTATGGCTGCCTCTGCTGCTTAGCCAGAGGCTTTAGCCTAAGAACAGGGCCTCAGACTGTCACAGTAAGAGAAGGCCCTTACACCAGCAGACAGTGATTTTGATTTTCTTTTATACCTCTATAACTAGCTAAGTGATAAGAATACACCTAAATTCTTAGAGTATAGGCCTTTACAGATAGGCCTGAATATCTATATCCTAATAGCATGCAGGAGGCTCTGGGGGTGGAGGGGGAGAAGTGAGGGCATGGCAGGCTCAGGGGAGGGAGTGGGAAGAGGTGGAGTGGGGGTAGGGCTTGTGGCAGAGCCGGGGGTTGAGCAATGAGCACCCCCCGGCACACGGGAAAGTTGGCGCCTGTAACTCCAGCCCCGGAGTAGGTGCCTATACAAGGAGCCGCATGTTAACTTCTGAAGAGCCGCGTGTGGCTCCGGAGCCACAGGTTGGCCACCCCGATTTAGAGGATAGCCTTGTATGTCCTTTGAATAAACAGGACAGTGTACTGCCAAATATAATTAATGTCCTGCAGATTGAGTCTTTGGGGTTTGATAAGTGTGCTCAATATTGTGTGGGGTGGTTAGTCAGCTTTGGCTCTAATTCATTACATAAACTGATTCAAGAGGCCCGGGAACAGAATGATCATCCAATATCACCACAGTGTGCCAGACTCCAATGGGTTCAGAATAAATTACTCCAAATCCCACCTTTTATAATATAAAAACTAATTTGGAAGGGAGCAGTGCTTGTTAGCCAGCTGGGGAAGTATCATAAAAATTGTCAAACGCTAGTGGTTCATGACTGATGAGACACACTCATCATTTTAAAACCACGTAAGTTACATAATTTAAGGACCTACTGGTGAGTGATTAACATTCAAAATTTTCCCTAAAGTCTTTGATAGAGAATGTTCCTTAGAATCCTCTCAGTTTAAAATATGTAATTTATTTGATTTAGATGTATAGTGCAAATCAGCAAAGGGATAGCAGTTATTTATGCTGCAGGACATAGCATCTTAGGGCATCTGAAGAAGCAAATATTGCTGGGGGTGATGCTCAGAGAAAAATGGAATTTAGTTTGTTGTTGTGCTGCCCGATTATTTAGTGTCATGCTACAGAGTAGCTATTTCTTTCTGGATTTATGTATCCATTAGAGGTGTCTCGAGTGTTTATAGCAGTGCCTTTTGGTTTTATAAATCTAAAGAATAAGAAAATACTGATTTTTCAGGAATAGCCTAGTAATAAGACAAAAGCCAAAGTAACTGCATGCATTTATCTAAGGCAAAATTGGCTCATTTTTCAGGATGGCTCACTGTTCCAAGGCTGTGAAAGCTCATCTACATTCAGCTCCAAAATGAGGATCAGCTTTTTTTCCTATTGTTGATCATACTGAAGCCAAATAATTCTAGACCAGAATAAAAGCCTTTGAGCATGCTGATCTACTTCATGGGACCACTGACCAAATGACCATCAGCAGAATTCAGGGTTGGGTGGGAGAGACTCTTGTCACACCAGGAGAGCAGCTGAGCAGCCACTAGGAGCTTTATAATTCATCTCAGTAGTAGGCTTTCTTCAATATGCAGCCACATATTGAGTGTCTGATCCCAGTCTGTCCAAAAAAAAAACAAACTCCAGGTTATTCTACTTCAGGTTACAGTCAATGCATCAAAACTGGGCTGGGATCTCATCCGAAAGACATGGGAAGTTTTACACTCTAAATTGAATCCCCACCAGAGGCCTAATAAAATTAAGGTAGTTGAGACCAGGTAGAGTCAGTTCCTGAGGTTTTTGGAAGTCAGGTGGCACAAAGTCACTTGCATTAAGTGAATCCAAAAGGGAACGTGGTGGGGGCAAAGCATTCTTATGTTTGTAATTGCTGTGAATCCTAGAAAGAAAACCCATAAATATCTAGGAGTGAAAGTATATGTGTGAGCTCTGCTGTTCAGAGAAAGGATGAAGTTGTTAGGGAATAACTGAATTACACAAACACAACAGGCAAAATTCTGTCATGTGTGCACACTACTTCCAAATTGCAGGGAGGAGGAAACTTGTCAGGTCTTGAAGATAAAATTAAATTGTTTTAAAGTGTGTTTATACTAAAATATTAATTTAAAAAGCAGAATGTCCTATATGTGAAAAGGGAAGAAGTTGTTTCTTTGTGAGCATATGATGAGTTTTAGGAAATACGGATTATTAGAAGATTTGCCAAATGTTCCTTCTGCTACTTCCCTTTAATGATGGTATAAATTAAGCTGTCATCGTTTCCTTTCACAGCTTTATCACCTCCAAACCAACAAATGTCTGGTTGCCCAGGGTCACCCAAGTCAGAAAGGAGGACTAGTTGTGGTTAGGGAGTGTGACTACAGTGATCAAAATCAGGTAGGTGATCGATGTTGGCTTGCTGCCATTAATTCAAGTAAGGATTTTCCAGACTTCCAAATTGCTAGCATGTTGTGCTGTTGCGAAGGAGCCTAATGCAACTCCTAATTTTGATTAAAAGGAGCCAGCTGCAAAGTACCTTTATCTTCAGTGTGCAAGTGCTGACCATTTGGATTGCAAATCCTACTGTGCCACACTTACGTGTGTGTCTACACTTAAAACGCTACAGTGGCACAGCGGCTGTAGCCCTTCCATAGCTCATCTTAAGTGATCACTCTCCTTACAGTGTGTATGATAACACCCATTTTTTCATGTTCTGTGTGTATATAAATCTCCTCACTATATTTTCCACTGAATGCAACTGATGGAGTGAGCTGTAGCTCACGAAAGCTTATGCTCAAATTGGTTAGTCTCTAAGGTGCCACTAGTACTCCTTTTCTTTTTGCGAATACAGTCTAACACAGCTGCTATTCTGAAACCCTTCCCTGTAGACACCCGAGAGGCGATAAGCTAGATTGATGGAAGATATCTCCACTGACCTAGTGCTGTCTACACAGGGACTCAGGTTGGCTTAATGTCACTCAGGGGTATGGAGTTGTCACACTCCTGACCAACATAATTAAAGTGACCTGATTTTCTAATGTAGACCAGGCCCTAATCTTACGCGGAGCAGCCTGCTCTGGTCAACATGGAGCATCGGATGCTGGGAGCTGTTATCTTTGTGGGTTGCATCTTTGTATTAATGTGAACTGCATATGGCTCACGGGCTCCACTTTGGCCACCCCTTGTAGAAAGGCTGTCATTCCTTTGACTCTTAGGGCTGGTCTTCACTATCCACACTGCTGCAATCGATGTAGCAGGGATCAATTTAGCAGATTTAGTGAAGACCTGCTAAATTGATGGCAGAGCGCTCTCTGGTTGACTCCGGTGGAAGATCAAGGGAAGTCGACCGGAGAGCGTCTCCTGTCGACGCAGTGCAGTGAAGACACCGGGGTAAGTTGACCTAAACTACATCGACTCCAGCTACATTAGTCACATAGCTGGAGTAGCATAACTTAGGTTGATTTACCCCTGTAGTGAAGACAAGCCCTTAGAGCTGCTACAGTCAGTCAGTTGTTAACTAGTTCTGGGGACTCACGATACATACATGCTGCTGCTTTGTCCACTGTCCCGCTTGCACTCTGTCTCTGTTCAGTTTGTTTTTAATTAAGACAAGTATTTCATTTTCTGGGTTTCTCATTGTGTGGCACTATCAGGGTTCCTTCCCCACTCTGAACTTTAGGGTACAGACGTGGGGACCTGCATGAAAGACCCCCAAGCTTATTTTTTACCAGCTGAGGGTAAAAACTCCCCAAGGCACAAATTCTTCCTGGTATTTTGGATTAGGTAAATGCTGCCACCACCAAGTGATTCAAACAAACATTTAGGGAGGGCCACTTGGAACCTTATCTTCCCCGTAATATCCCCCCAAGCCGTACACCCCCTTTCCTGGGAAGGCTTGAGAATAAACAAGATGAGCACAGACCAACCTTGGGTTTTTAGGGACACTAAAAATCCCAATTAGATTCTTAAAGAACACATAACTTTATTAAAAAGAAAAGTAAAAGAAACACTTCTGTAAAATTAGGATGGAAAATAATCTCACAGGACAATCAGATTCAACACACAGAGGGTTTCCCCTCTAGGCAAAACTTTAAGGTTAAAAAAACAGGGATAAACCTCCCTCTTAGCACAGGGGAAAATTCACAAACTGAAACAAAAGATAATCTAACGCATTTCCTTGCTATTACTTACTATTTCTGTAAGATTAGATGCTTAGTTCAGCTATGGCTTAGGGAGATGTATTTTCCCTGTCCTGGTTCCTCACTAACCCCGGAGCGAACAACAAAGAGAACAAAAGCAAACCCATGTCCCCACAGATTTTGAAAGTATCTTCTTCTCTCATTGGTCCCTTTGGTCAGGTGCCAACCAGGTTACCCGAGTTTCTTAACCCTTTACAGGTAAAGGAGGGATTTTATGCTACCCTTAGCTGTATGTTTATGACCGACACCATTAGCATATTGTGACTGGGGGGGGCCTCGTAACTCTAGTTCTCTGAAAAGCAGGCTCTGCTAAGGGGTTTCAAGATGGCCACCCCAAAATTAAGGCACCTGCAATCATTAGTCAGTTTGGAAAACTTGGTGCCGTTATTTCTACGTTAGTCTAGGAAAGTACTGATGCCTTAAGGCACTAAGGGGCCTGATGCATGATGCCACCTACTGGAACCAGTGGCTTTAGAGCAGGGGTGGGCAAACTTTTTGGCCCGAGGGCCACATCTGGGTGGGGAAATTGCATGCAGGGCCATGAATGTAGGGCTGGGGCAGGGGGTTGGGGTGTAGGAGGAGGTGTGGTGTGCAGGAAGGGGCTCAGGGCGGGGGTTGAGGCACAGGAGGGATGCGGGGTGTACAAGGGGGCTCGAGGTGCGGGAGGGGTGTCAGAGGGGGCTCAGGGTGGGAGGTTGGGGCTCAGGAGTGGTGTGGGGTGTACAAGGGGGCTCAGGGCAGGGGGTTGGGGTGTGGGCTCTGGCCCGGTGCCGCTTATGTGGAGCGGCTCTGGGGTGGCAGCGGCACACAGTGGGGCTAAGGTGGGCTCCCTGCCTGCCCTGGCCCTGGCCCTGCGCCGCTCCCAGAAGCGGCTGGCACCAGGTCCCTGCGGCCCTGGGGGAGGGGGGGAGCTGAGGGCTCAGTGTGCTTCCCTCGTCTGCAGGTACCTCCCCTGAGGCTTACAAGAAGTGGAAGGTTGGACATATGACCAGGGAAGAGTATAAAAATATTGCTCGGGCATGTAGGAATGATATCAGGAGGGCCAAATCGCACCTAGAGCTGCAGCTAGCCAGAGATGTCAAGAGTAACAAGAAGGGTTTCTTCAGGTATGTTGGCAACAAGAAGAAAGCCAAGGAAAGTGTGGGCCCCTTACTGAATGAGGGAGGCAACCTAGTGACAGAGGATGTGGAAAAAGCTAATGTACTCAATGCTTTTTTTGCCTCTGTTTTCACTAACAAGGTCAGCTCCCAGACTGCTGCGCTGGGCATCGCAAAATGGGGAAGAGATGGCCAGCCCTCTGTGGAGATAGAGGTGGTTAGGGACTATTTAGAAAAGCTGGACGTGCACAAGTCCATGGGGCCGGACGAGTTGCATCCGAGAGTGCTGAAGGAATTGGCGGCTGTGATTGCAGAGCCATTGGCCATTATCTTTGAAAACTCGTGGCGAACGGGGGAAGTCCCGGATGACTGGAAAAAGGCTAATGTAGTGCCAATCTTTAAAAAAGGGAAGAAGGAGGATCCTGGGAACTATAGGCCAGTCAGCCTCACCTCAGTCCCTGGAAAAATCATGGAGCAGGTCCTCAAAGAATCAATCCTGAAGCACTTGCATGAGAGGAAAGTGATCAGGAACAGCCAGCATGGATTCACCAAGGGAAGGTCATGCCTGACTAATCTAATCGCCTTTTATGATGAGATTACTGGTTCTGTGGATGAAGGGAAAGCAGTGGATGTATTGTTTCTTGACTTTAGCAAAGCTTTTGACACGGTCTCCCACAGTATTCTTGTCAGCAAGTTAAGGAAGTATGGGCTGGAAGAATGCACTATAAGGTGGGTAGAAAGCTGGCTAGATTGTCGGGCTCAACGGGTAGTGATCAATGGCTCCATGTCTAGTTGGCAGCCGGTATCAAGTGGAGTGCCCCAAGGGTCAGTCCTGGGGCCGGTTTTGTTCAATATCTTCATAAATGATCTGGAGGATGGTGTGGATTGCACTCTCAGCAAATTTGCGGATGATACTAAACTGGGAGGAGTGGTAGATACGCTGGAGGGGAGGGATAGGATACAGAAGGACCTAGACAAATTGGAGGATTGGGCCAAAAGAAATCTGATGAGGTTCAATAAGGATAAGTGCAGGGTCCTGCACTTAGGACGGAAGAACCCAATGCACAGCTACAGACTAGGGACCAAATGGCTAGGCAGCAGTTCTGCAGAAAAGGACCTAGGGGTGACAGTGGACGAGAAGCTGGATATGAGTCAGCAGTGTGCCCTTGTTGCCAAGAAGGCCAATGGCATTTTGGGATGTATAAGTAGGGGCATAGCGAGCAGATCGAGGGACGTGATCGTTCCCCTCTATTCAACATTGGTGAGGCCTCATCTGGAGTACTGTGTCCAGTTTTGGGCCCCACACTTCAAGAAGGATGTGGATAAATTGGAGAGAGTCCAGCGAAGGGCAACAAAAATGATTAGGGGTCTGGAACACATGAGTTATGAGGAGAGGCTGAGGGAGCTGGGATTGTTTAGCCTGCAGAAGAGAAGAATGAGGGGGGATTTGATAGCTGCTTTCAACTACCTGAAAGGGGGTTCCAAAGAGGATGGCTCTAGACTGTTCTCAATGGTATCAGATGACAGAACGAGGAGTAATGGTCTCAAGCTGCAGTGGGGGAGGTTTAGATTGGATATTAGGAAAAACTTTTTCACTAAGAGGGTGGTGAAACACTGGAATGCGTTACCTAGGGAGGTGGTAGAATCTCCTTCCTTAGAGGTTTTTAAGGTCAGGCTTGACAAAGCCCTGGCTGGGATGATTTAACTGGGAATTGGTCCTGCTTCGAGCAGGGGGTTGGACTAGATGACCTTCTGGGGTCCCTTCCAACCCTTAGATTCTATGATTCTATGAAGCTCCCATTGGCCGTGGTTCCCTGTTCCCGGCCAATGGGAGCTGCGGGGGGGGGGGGGCGGTGCCTGCAGACAAGGGCAGCGCACGTAGCCCACCCCTCCTCCAGGGGATGCAGGGACATGATGCTGGCTGCTTCCGGAAATGGCGCAGGGCCTGTGGCGCCACGGGCAATGGTGAGCTGGAACCAGTTTGCATCGGTTCGCGTGAACCGGTTGTTAAAGGGGTGGGCAAACTCCGGCCCGCCTGAGCTCTCAGCTGGGGAGGTTCCCCTGAGAATCCCTTTTTAATTTTTACTCACCCGGCAGCGCT